AAGTTATGATTTTTGTAAGCTTTGATTGGTCGAAAAATGTAGCCAAATATTGACTCAAAGAATGGTATTCTAATTTTAGTCAGAAGCTTATTACGCTATGAAGGAATCATTTCCGACCCTATAAATCATATATATTCTTGATCAGCACGATCAGCCAAGTCGATTGAGCCGTCTCCGGCCAAAATCTATTTTTTTTCAAAATCTCCGAAAATTGAACAATTTTATAAGGGGTTACATCATTAAAATTGCCAAAAATTGAAAAAAAAATCGAATCTCTTTTAATGTTAAATTGAGTATGCAGTTTTTTTAAACTGATAAAAACTAGCATCGGAACGCTTTCCGATTTCAAATTAAAGCGTTTTTGTCTAAGTTATGAATTTTTAAATTTTGGTCGAAAAAAATGTAGTACAAAAATTTAGGCAAATATTGACTCAAAGAATGGTATTCTAATTTTAGTCCGAAAATTTTTACGTTGTGAAGGAGTCATTTCCGAGTATGCAGTTTTATTACACTGATAGTAAACAACATAGGACCGTTTTCCGAATTAAAATTGAAACGTTTTTGGCAAAGTTATGATTTTTGTAAGCTTTGATTGGTCAAAAAAATTGTAGTAAAAACATGTAGACAAATATTGACTCAAAGAATGGTATTCTAATTTTAGTCTGAAAATTTTTACGTTGTGAAAGACTCATTTCCGAGTATGCAGTTTTATTACCCTGATAGTAAACAACATAGGACCGTTTCCGAATTAAAATTGAAACGTTTTTGGCAAAGTTATGATTTTTGTAAGCTTTGATTGGTCGAAAAATGTAGCCAAATATTGACTCAAAGAATGGTATTCTAATTTTAGTCAGAAGCTTATTACGCTATGAAGGAATCATTTCCGACCCTATAAATCATATATATTCTTGATCAGCACGATCAGCCAAGTCGATTGAGCCGTCTCCGGCCAAAATCTATTTTTTTTCAAAATCTCCGAAAATTGAAAAATTTTATAAGGGGTTACATCATTAAAATTGCCAAAAATTGGAAAAAAATCGAATCTCTTTTAATGTTAAATTGAGTATGCAGTTTTTTTAAACTGATAAAAACTAGCATCGGAACGCTTTCCGATTTCAAATTAAAGCGTTTTTGTCTAAGTTATGAATTTTTTAATTTTTGGTCGAAAAAAATGTAGTACAAAATTTAGGCAAATATTGACTCAAAGAATGGTATTCTAATTTTAGTCCGAAAATTTTTACGTTGTGAAGGAGTCATTTCCGAGTATGCAGTTTTATTACACTGATAGTAAACAACATAGGACCGTTTTCCGAATTAAAATTGAAACGTTTTTGGCAAAGTTATGATTTTTGTAAGCTTTGATTGGTCAAAAAATGTAGCCAAATATTGACTCAAAGAATGGTATTCTAATTTTAGTCAGAAGCTTATTACGCTATGAAGGAATCATTTCCGACCCTATAAATCATATATATTCTTGATCAGCACGATCAGCCGAGTCGATTGAGCCGTCTCCGGCCAAAATCTATTTTTTTTCAAAATCTCCGAAAATTGAAAAATTTTATAAGGGGTTACATCATTAAAATTGCCAAAAATTGGAAAAAAATCGAATCTCTTTTAATGTTAAATTGAGTATGCAGTTTTTTTTAAACTGATAAAAACTAGCATCGGAACGCTTTCCGATTTCAAATTAAAGCGTTTTTGTCTAAGTTATGAATTTTTTAAATTTTGGTCGAAAAAAATGTAGTACAAAAATTTAGGCAAATATTGACTCAAAGAATGGTATTCTAATTTTAGTCCGAAAATTTTTACGTTGTGAAGGAGTCATTTCCGAGTAAGCAGTTTTATTACACTGATAGTAAACAACATAGGACCGTTTTCCGAATTAAAATTGAAACGTTTTTGGCAAAGTTATGATTTTTGTAAGCTTTGATTGGTCAAAAAAATTGTAGTAAAAAAATGTAGACAAATATTGACTCAAAGAATGGTATTCTAATTTTAGTCCGAAAATTTTTACGTTGTGAAAGACTCATTTCCGAGTATGCAGTTTTATTACCCTGATAGTAAACAACATAGGACCGTTTTCCGAATTAAAATTAAAACGTTTTTGGCAAAGTTATGATTTTTGTAAGCTTTGATTGGTCGAAAAATGTAGCCAAATATTGACTCAAAGAATGGTATTCTAATTTTAGTCAGAAGCTTATTACCCTGTGAAGGAATCATTTCCGAAAAAAATCATTTGGAAAAAAAATAATGGTCATAAATAATATCGATAATTTACTTATTATAAATCTTCAAGACCAAATAATGAGAGATTGCTACAACCCATTAATTTATAAATGAATAATTGCTTAATTAACTCGGATTAATGCGGAGTTTATATTTATTAATCTTTTTGTTCATTCAACATTAAGTTAAGTTATCTTACATTTTATTTTCGTGAGCACACACCTGATTGTAGCCAAACAGTGCCTTGTCGTATTCCCGGACTTTCATGTGGTTGTTGGACTGATCGCAGAACAGCTTCACGCCAGTCTCAATCTCCTCGAGGGTGTCCACTTTGGGTTTCTTGCGCGGCATCTTGGTGTCTGAAGAGGAGTAGCAGTAGGATATAGGAGGGCTTCCTTTGTTCACATTAGGATTCCTTTGCTATGTCACTTTGCCGCGAAGGAAGGACGTCTGAACGCGGTGCCTGCAGTAGGCTAACTGACTTGCCTCGCTTCGCTTTGCATTTGGCTCGACGACTTGGCCCAGCCCGCTCCTGCTCCTGAATTGGGCCTTTCTTTACTTTGCTGCATGCGCTGACAAGCAGCAATAAACTTCAATAAAGTTGCATTAATATCTCAACGAAACCCTTCTGGTGGCCCTACAGAGAAGAAAAACATCAATAACGCTGTCAGGCAAAATTAACCTTACATAATCATATTTTTATTCGATTCCACTGTAATATCTGCCTTGGATTTGGTCAAAAATGAGAAAAAAGTTTAGGAAATTTAGGCATTGCTTTCACTTAGTTTAAGCTCACATTTGATTATTGTATATTTTTATTATTAAAAAAATTATTTAATGTTTTTAAGAACGCAAAGAAAGATAATATACCCTTGCAGGGTAATAATAATACTCGATCTAATAATTCAACTGTAAAATAAACTTTGTCATCCCAAAGTTAGTTTCCTTTCTTGTTTTATAATAGTATTTTTATAATGTCTGATATAATCCAAATAAATATCTTTAGTAAGCCATTAATTTTTTCCTGTGCAAAAGGGTCGGATTTGTGGGACTGGCCCAGCGAGTGAGGAGCGAGGGGCCACCGCATTTACACGCAGTTAATTGAAGCCATCAAAATTAAACCCAAACTTGGTCCTCGGAGGAAGTCACGCACCCTGGCCCAGAACACTGATAAGACAATCGATTTGCGCCAGGTGAAACCCATTTGCTGGGGGAGGACACATACAGAGACAGACTGTGACTGTGACTGAGACATAGACCAGTTAAGGACATTTATTTCGACAAATTTATGGAAGCCCAACAAATTGCTATTAATTTTGGCGTATTGTTTTTAGAGTAAATAAATAAGCTTGATGTTTCGAGCAGGTCGTAAAGGTTGGAGCACGTGACTGTTGTTGTCTCCGGTTCGTTCTTGGCTCTTCGGACGGTCTTGGCTCTTGGTTCTTGGTTCTTGGTTCCTGGGTCTTGCGTGTGCCTGCCTCATTTCGACAGCGGCTGGCAACCTTCGCGGTGGCGTGACGAAACAATTTTATTTATCCTGCCCTCGTAACCGGCGGTGGCCTGGTCTCCGCAAACTGGGGGCGGAGCTGGAGGCGGGCCGCCATTTGCGGGCAGATGGGCTGTCGGAAATTATGATATTTGCATTTGCTCAAGTTGCTTCCCTCGATGGAGGAGGAGGAGAAGCGCCAGACAGACCCCATTCCTAATGCTGACTCGCGTTTACGACAACTCCAATTGGACAGACACGACCTCTGGATTGTAATCACCTCGATTTTGGATTTCGGTTTTCCAGGAGCTCTCGCATGCAAGGCACCGTCGCACCTGTTGCCTCCACTACTCCGAATGGGGCCACTAGGCAATGGTATTATTGTAGTATTACCCAAGACGGTGAAGACCATAGGATGAATAACACTACTATTTACAATTTTATTTTACCTTTAGATTTTGAAAATAAGACAGGTTCCTGACTCTCTCACTTTAGCTAAGCTTCTGTTTCCCAGAGATACAATTGATTATCAACCGCGATTAGTTCTGTAATAGATTTAGATTATTCCCAAGTATCCTTCATATACTCACAAATCTTTACAATTGCACAGATATGAATTACTACAATCAAGGAATAGTAATATTGATAGCAATGATAATAGAATTAGTAATCTTATTATATAATTTTTCTTACCTATTGTGAAAATTAAGAGAAAAAACGTCATGGGAAAAATATAGCTCAAGATTTTGCCTGCCTTAAAATATTTTCTGTTTTCCTGTATTACAATGTATTATTATTAGATAGGATATTTCTTATAATATATGTGTATACAATAACTTGCCTTCTTCCAACCTATGAGAAACAAAACTCCAGCAATGAAATAGCTTAGGGCGGCAAGGGCTCCTATAATATTCAAAACTCCATCCATTATATAGTTTTCATTGTTTTGAAGTATTAAAGCATTTACGCCTCTACCGAGACCCCAGACTGCAAAACCACCTCCAAAGGCCAAGCACCATATTATATAGAACTTGACACAAGATACCGGCTCAAATTTGCAGCTAGAGTCGCACATTTCCCTTTATATGTAGTAATAGTGTATTTTGAAATAAAACTAGGAATACTGATTTGTGTGACCTAAGTTCCTAAGTGAACTATGATGGATAAATAGTAAGAAATATTGAAGTATATAGTGTACATGTTATACCAAGCCAAAAATAAAGGCAAAGCTATTTGAAGACCAAATATTTGTTTTTGTTTCAATTATTTTTCACGAGGTAAGCCAGGATTAGTTACTTCTGAGACGTTTTATTTCGCAAGCAAGGTCGCCTACACAGACTTGCCGATCTCTAGCATAGGTACATGTACATGGGCTATAAATAATTTAAAATATTTGCGGAGTGGTTCCTCCTCCAGCGGCTGCCTCTATTGACCCCCAGTTCGCTGGACATTGTCGAAGGGCACAAGGATGCCGGGTGGGCCACCAAAGCGGCTACTCTCCGTTCGCCGTTGGTCACCGCCGACTGCTGCCACTCCCGATGAGGACGATGCCTGCGCCTGATGCTGGTGCACTGGAGCCTGGAAGGGACGCGGCTCTGACTGGGGGGATAGAACTCCGCTGGGCGCTCCAAAGCCGCCGCTGTAGCGTCCCGGATTCACTGTTGGCCTAGCCTTGTTGGCCTTCACAATGCTGCTAAATTCGTTCTCATTGCCGGCCACATAGATGCCGGAGTTGGAGCCATTTTGTGGACGCAGTAGACCCGCCGGGGCTCCAAATCCTCCAGTGTACTTGCCACTGTTACTCGTGCCGCTGCTGATGGTGCTGGTCGCGGGGGTGGCACTCTCCGCTGAAAATGAAATTGAATAAACAAATTTACAACAAGAACTAATAAATTAGTTGATATTAAACAAAAAAGGAAACTAACTTTGTGAAGTCGCAGGAAGCGAATTGATCAGAACTAAGCTTAAAATATTAATATTTAGTTATATATTTATACTACATATTTATACTTATTCGATCATTAGATTTATATAAAGTTAAATAAGACTTAAGAACTCACCCTTCCGCTGGATGGAGGCCACCGGAGTGCTGATGACCTTGCCCTCGTCGCTCTTCGTGTACTCCACCTTGACAGGCGGCAGGGGGGAATCCCCGTTGCCAATGCTATTGCTGGGCTCCTGGGGATCAAAGCGGGCTGCAAGAGGCATGATAGAGTTGGTACTGGTGTGGGACAAGGAACCGGGAAGGGGAACGGAACCGGAGCCGGAGACGGTGTCCAAGCCAGAATCCGGATGGTCAGCGGGCGGAATGAGCACCAGTGGCGGCTCCTCGCTGCTACTGCTGCTGCTGCTGCCGGCGCTAGGGAAGCTAGTGGTGCCGCTGCCTGGAAGCGGAAGCGTGACTTTGGATGGAAAAGCAGAGGAGGCGGTCGGGAGGCGGTCGGTAAAGGGACGTGGCGGGTTTGTGGGGGAGCTGCTGGCTGCCGGTCCAAAGTTGTTCGGATCGAAGGGCACGCCGGGACCGACATCGGGATAGTCAAAGTCCCGCAGCCAGGGGGGAATCGTGGCCGAGTCGAAGGGGTTGACGATGTCCAGGGAACTGGACGTGGTGGTGCTGCTGCTGCCCCTGCTCAGGTCCTGCGCCGACGGCGTTGCATCTGCTGATTGAATTGGGTTTTGGATCAGTTTCGCCGTTGGGGGCCCTGGACGCTGTGCTTGGTGGGTGGTGTGCTTGGTGGGAATGGGTGCAGTGGTGGTTCGCTTGGTGCTCGGACGTCGCGTGGTTGTCGTCGTAGTCGTTGTTGTGGTTGTTGTTGTTGTCCTGGCTGTTGTCGTTGTGCGCGGAGTGGTTGTGGTTGTGCTTCTAGGAGTGGTGCTTGTCGGAGGAGCTGCAGTGACTCCACTTCCCGTGGGTGGCGGTGTCAGTTGTATGTTGCCCAGGTCGACGAAAGGCTCGTAAGGTGGCTCCAGGTCACTGGCCAGCGTGTGATTATACTGATCGTTGTCGGTGGGCACCACAAAGGTGACAGCCACATCTAGGTCCGGATCGGTGACCTCCTGCAACCAAGTGGGCAGCGTGTAGGCGTACTCATCGGCATTGATCAGGCTATAGAAGTTGGCCGGATCCTCGGTGGTAGTGGGAATCCTGGTAGTCTTCGCTGTACTCGTGGTGGGTGCTTTGGTAGTGGTCGTTGTCCTGGTCGTAGTGGTCCTGGGAGTTGTCCTGGTTGTGCTAGGGGCTTGGGTTGGCGTCGTCGTTGTAGTTGTGGTAGTGGTTCGTGGCCTCAGAGTGGTGCTGCTGCTCCTGGTGGTGCTGTAGTGGGCCGTACCACGCTGCCGGTTGGGGAAGCGACCGCTGGCATTGCTCGGCGTGGTGGTGCTTCCCACATGGGCATTGGTGCCATGAGCTGCCGGTCCATCTTCCTGCGACTGGGTGTGGGTCTGGGACTGGATCTGAGTTTGATGCTGCTCCTGGTCCTGTGGCCGTGGATCCGCCGAGGTAACACTGCCGCTGCTCAGGCTAAGGCGTATGTTGTGGCTAATGGGATCGACGACGCCTTGAACCCTCTTTGATGGCAGCTGGTTCTGCTGTGTGATGATGACCGGCTCCTGTTCCTGCTTCTGGTCCTTCTTCTCCTGCTCTTGGTGAGGGGGCAACAGATCCCAGGCTATAACACTCAGTGGAGCTCCATCCTCGGCCGGTTGCCAGGCCACGGGACCGCCTATATTCGGATCCTGGCGCTGCAGCTCTCTGAGGTACTCGGGCAGGGAACTGGCTTCCTCCTGGTCCTGCTGCTGTGGAAGCGGCACTAGGTGTGCCTGCTCCACCTCCACGACGCCTGTCGTCGTCGTCGTGTCGGGTGATGGATCATGGAGGGGCGGTGTTAGTGATGTGGCTGGAATTGGTGCTGGTGCTGTGGATGCTGATGCTGTGCCAAGGAATGAGTTCGGTTTCGGATCGGAGCTGCTGCTGCTGGGTTCCAGGCCCACAGCGATGGCATCTGGTTGAAGAGGATTCGGATTCGGAGTTGAGTTGAATTTCGAGCAATTTGCCGGGGCTACAAGGGAGGACGAGGTTGGGGGATTCGAGCAGGGACCTGACCGGGAAGGGGACTGCGACGGGGACTGGGGCTGGCCAATTTGGGTGATGGGCGAGTCTGGGCCTCCTACAAAGGAAGGATTCAGCCGGATCAAGGAAAAGGCGGGCGGGGCGTGGTGGTTAGTGGGTGGTGCAATGGGAAACTGGCCGCCCGGCGAGACGGAGTCGCGCTTGGCCAGCTTGTTAGTGGTGCCAATGGGTGCGGCTGGTGCGGTGCGGGTGCGGTGGCTACTGGGACTACTTGGACTACTACTACTGCTACTACGGTTTGTGTGTGCTTTTGTGTCTGTTTTGGTTTTGGTTTCGGTTTCGGTTTTGGTTTCTATTTCTGTCTGGTTTTCCGGTTCTGAATCCGTTTCCGTTTCCGTTCTGGCGCCAGCCGCTTTTGTCAACAACTCACCAATGTGCGGCGGCAGCAGATCATCGGCCGGCCGCCGGATCTCTGTGATCCCCGAGGCGTAGGTGGGAATCTCGAACTGCACTCCCTGGGCGCTAACCACCTTGCGCCCGTCGGGCGTGTCGATGGGACGCAGAGTGTCGATGGGGTTGCCATAGCTATCGATGGTCTTCTGGCCCCCCGATGATGTCGAGGTCGAAGTCGATGTCGATGGGTTGAAGGACTCCTCCGCCGGCTGCAGCAGCGGCGGCTGCAGCTCGAGGGCGAAGGGCGACTGACGCACATCTGTTGGAGGATAGCAGAATGTTGTTGTTTTTGGTGGTCTCGTTGTGGCTGCTGCTTCAGCTTTTCTTATTAGCATTGTTTTTAGCAATTGGAAAAGCAAGTTGCATGTGGATGTGACAGCAGGAGATGAGGCAAAGAATGTGTATGAGGAACAGAGCGATCAAATGTGATAATGTAGAGCCTTTGTGGCTATGACACTGCATAATAAACTTTCTAAATGCAGCTATGACACAGTATTAAATTTGTATTAATAACAACTTTCTAGAGAACCTTGAAAACCCAATAAAGAAATTGTGCTGCTTAGAATACATAAAAAATGTCATAACTAAGTCAAAAATGAATCAATTTTATTTCTAAAAGCGTTTTAATGTTAATTTTAATCAGCTTAATAAAACTGCATACTCAAAATAACATTTAAAGAGATTCCATTTTTTTTTCCTATTTTTGGCAATTTTAATGATGTAACCCCTTATAAAATTTTTCAATTTTCGGAGATTTTGAAAAAAAAAATAGATTTTGGCCGGAGACGGCTTAATCGACTCGGCTGATCGTGCTGATCAAGAATATATATGGTTTATTGGGTCGGAAATGATTCCTTCAATGCGTAACACGCTTTTGACTGCCCTGCAGGGCATTTGAATTATAGGAAATTTTTCAGTATTTTAAAAATCGTTTCAAATATTCGGGTAAAAACTTTAAAAATTCGTTCCATTTCCCAAGCTCAAAATAATTCAAACTATTGTAGTTTATTACATATTGAAATTCCTTTGTTGGGAGTATGTTTTTGGGTGGGCTACAGTGTGGAGGAGATTCCCACCAAGAGGCTGCTGTGGGTGCCACTGGTGGCTGCTGGTGGCTGCTGGTGGATGCTGGTGGGGTGACAGATGAGGCAGCTGTGGGCGGCTCTTGGGTAATTTGCCTGCCGCAGCGGCGGCTGATTGATTGACATTGACTGAGATGGGCCATACATTTGCTGCATGTCTTTGGTGGCTGTGTGGTTCTGTGAGTGTGTGTTTGTGTGTGTGGTGCGGTGCTTACTGTTAGTTACCACTGCCCGAACCCACCGCCACCCAGCTAAAATTCAATTTTAAAAGTTACCCAGCCGGGTTAGGTCTGGCTTATGTGTGTGTGTGGTGTGTTTGTGTGGGTGTGACAGGTGTGCAACCATCAAGTTCGTTGCCTAAGTCTTTCGTTTTAGTTGGCCAAAAAAAAGGGCTTTAGGGCGTACAGTGCGTTTCATAGGGCTAGTAGCACAAGAAAAAGCTAGGGGTCATTGTGAAAGCGATAATTCACTTAATCGGTGTGGGAAAAAGCCATATAGTTGAATTTTAATGCACAGTAAAAGCTATCTATTTATTTATAAACCTTAAATTGATAGTAAAACTACTGTTTTAAGTATTATGAGTCGTTCTTTTTGATTTTAAAATAATCGTAAAATTAATTTCATTATAATTCATCAATAAATTCCAATATAATTTATCAATAAATTCAATTTTCTATATGGGTAATTTTGATTTAAAACAAAGTTTTCCTTTATATAATTGTTTCTTGATTATTAAAACTTGACTTGGACTCGGAATAAATATTTTTATCAGCACACGAGTCTTATTTATTAGTTAAAATTATTAATAAATAAGTTGTAAATACCTTTGTGATGCCTATTTGCTTATTAATGCAAAGTAAAATATATAATTGATTGCCTATCTTCAGCTGGTATTGAAAAACTAAATGTCAATAGCGATTCAAAACCCTAATTTGTTTATCTAAATAAACAAAACATAATATAAATATTAATTGATGGCTAAATTTCACAAAAATGGAGACCCTAACTTGGCTAGAATATTTATATGCCTGTTTTTTACGCTTTACAGTCACAAAACGCACTTGGCAATTAGTGGCTGAATTTCTATCAACAAAGACACTTATTGTATTCTGTGTGTGGGGAATCGGGGAAATCTGGGCAATCTAGAGAATCTGTCCAGCTGCGGCAACAAGCGAATTAATGGTTAATGATTGCACTGACAAAACAATGATTCTCGTGCCGAAGGCGGATAATTAATTAATAATAAACGCATACAGAGATCTGAGCTTCTCAGCTTCTGATTTGCTAATCTCTCTCTGATTCGATTCCTGTTTACAGCGGAATAACTGAATAATTCGCATAATATAACCTAAACCAAATGGGAAATATTTTAATTACCAGAATTCCCCCGAGAAAGGCGAGAAGCGAAACTCGTCTGTGACTAAGTCAGGGATGGGAGTGTGTTGCTCTGCCGGTTCGGATCGGTCAAGTTAGTTCCGGCTGCTAAGCACATGCCAGCGGTATCTCTATTCTATAATCCAAACTGGGCTTCATTTGCATGCCCCCCAGAGATGGGAGATGGGCTTGGCCAGCGCGTCCAACCAGGAAGCCCTGAACTTTCGCCTCTCACAACTGATAGCTGGAGGATAAGAGTCATGGCTGGTGGCTTGTTCAAGTGATTTCGGATAACATAATGCCGTAATAATTGAAAACTCCCCCCTCTGACTTCCGCCTCGGCTCAAGTTCAGGCCAATTAATTTTGCTTGTCTCCAACGCCATCTCCATCTCCATCTCCATCACCATCTCCTTCGACATCTCCATGGAAGACGACTGTGTTTGTGTTTATTTAATTTAATTTTTAATTGATTGACGGCTTCACGACATCTCTGCACCCACAGACAATGGGAATTTTTTGTGTTAAAGTTAGAGTTAAAAAACGTTTTGCACTTGCCAATTTTACAGTTTGTTTACTACCAACCTTCGTGGCGATTGTAATGCCTTTTTTCTCTATAAAAACTTATTAATCTTTGTTCATATCTTTAGATATATCTATTGCCGGGACCTTGGAGTTATCGACTTATAGCCCACACACAGCCAAAATGTGTCAAAAGCCGCCAAAAGCTTGTAAATTATCTTTTTTGGAAACGACTTTAACGCGTGTGTTTATTGCACTTGAAATATCCAAAAAAAAAGAGAAGCCAAAATGATTTTATTATGATTTTTGTCTCGTGAAAATGTCAAAGGGGAAAACCCAACCCATAAATATTTATGGCTTAGAATGGTTTGGAAGTGATCAGAATTGGTTCTACATTTATTTGGGGCTTCTCTTTGTCGGCTTTTTGGCTTTGAGTGCATATCTTTCACATCATCCACATAACAATATATATAACTGGTTGCTGATATCTCCCCTGTTGTGTTTTAATTACGTTAATCTTTTGCGCTGAATCATAAATCATAAATCAAGCAACGCGAAAGTGAGGCACGATCCGTGCGAATTTGCTAATTATCACGTTCAGTTACGGGTCCCCTTTCATTACGATATTGGCTATAGATATAAGGCAAATATATCTCCATTTATTGCCAAATCCCTAAAGTGGAGCATGAACCACGGAGCCAAAGAAAACCATTAAAGCCAGGAGAAATATATTACTATTATTATGGATCGCTGGGCTGTCTAAATGAGCCTGGTCTTAATTGTTATTGGCCAATTACTTGGGCCCAAAGTTGGTCAGTTTTTTGAGATGCTTTTCAGGTGATTTTCACGCCTTTTCATTCACAAATTCTACACTTTTTCATGGCACCATGACCCAAAAAAAAGAAGGCACAGAAAAACAGCGCCACCTTAGTCGCTACTAGTTAGTGTAAACAACTTGTTAAAACACTAAAAAAAAGAAGAAGTCTCGCCAGATTTATGGACTACATGGAGCACCCCTTCCAGGGAGAGGTCGTTTAACCACCTCAGACTCCTCCTCCTGCCCCCGGACTCTGTATTGTTCCTCGCGAAGAGGAACGACTCTGTCGAAGCCTTGCCAGTCACGTTATCCGCCGGTTATGTAACCTCACTCCCTCCTCCGGCTTGGGCTTTCCTCGGAGTGGAGATCTCCTCTTCATCTTCACATCTCGTTTTTCTTGCGGCTTTGAGCTGTTTATTTGTTTGTTTATTTGTTTGTTTTTTGTTTTTTTTTACTCTCGGCAGTGGCTACTTGATTTCGCTTTCGGCCAAAACGTAATGATCTGCTGTGCGCTTTGAGAGCGATTCTTCAGTTTCAGTTTTATTTTGTTTTAGTTTGTCAAACAAATACATCTCGAGGCGGCACTCCATTGGCGAAGGCTAATTGTAGGCAAAACGCCCGAGGGATTTGGCCGGGAGGGGTGCATAATTATCCATACAATATATCATTGATAATATTTAAAAATAAAGTAACCCATAGGTTTCATTATATTTAAAATTAAAACTGCGAGAAGAAGAAGGTATTAATGATATGGGTTTAAACTAGGAATGCATATCGTAAAGAAAAGTTCACTATGATATATTGTAAATATCATAAGCATTAATATACCAAAAACCTGGTAATATTTCGGAACTTGTTTCTCTTTCTTTACCTACAAAAGTTCTAGTTGCTATTGATAACTTACTATTATTCTCTCCTATACTTATTTGTAGTTTCTATATTTCAGTGTAATTCCCATTACTTTTCCCCAATTTCTCAGTCTGCCCCTGTAGCTAGTCATTACAAGTGGAGTGGGGATAACACTTGTGTCTCCCGGCCGATGTGGGTCACGATCACGATTGCGATCGAAGTTCACAGCGGAGTGAGAACGAACTTGAGGTGCTTGGCTTTTCCATATGCAAATGAGAGTGAGGTGATTTCTAGTGAGGAGTTTTCGTGAGAGAGAGGTGAGTTCGTGATCGATTATTATTATAATTATAACTATTATTTTTACAGTGAGGTTGAATGAATAAAGTAGAATTTCTAACACAGAGAAGGGAGAGGAGGGGTCTCGGGTTCTATACAACTTAGTAGGGGTTTCGGGTGGAAAATCGTAGAATTAGTCACACATAACGGAAGGAGGAAGCTTAAAGTCAGGGAAAATATAATAACATTTTTATGAAAAGGAATTTTAAAAGCAGTTCAAATTATAAGTATTCTTTGAGAATAATAATATACAAAATAGTTGCCTTATTTATTCACATATTTAGATGAAGTTAAGTATTGAAAAACCCAATTTCAATCAATAAATAATTCATAACAATGTCTAACATTTGCAACAGTATATTTATAGAACAATAAACACGCCTATAAAACGGGTTCTACAAGCCCCATATTAATGGCAAGTATTTAATAAATTTATGACTCGTTCATAGTTTAACTTTTAGCTTCCTCCGGGGGGAAAAAATACGTAATAAGCACACATAATAAGATTTAGTTAGCGGATTTGCAAAACACAAAACCGCAGACAGAAGAGGAGAAGAGACAAAGAAAGCCAAAAGAGATCGCATATCGCAATCGCAATCGCAATTGCTATATGGTTTTAATTATCAAAAGATGCTGCATTAGTTTATAGATTTTTGATTTAATTTTTTGTGTTCGTTATTTTTTTTTTTTAATGTATACCAGGCCTTCCAGCGGCGAAATCGGCGGCAAAGCTGATGAGCAAAAGCATTGCGACGAAGCTGTGGCTTCGTTTCTGCTTTTGGATCTGCATTTTCGTGGCTTTATTTATTTATGATTATTGCTGCTGGGATTTCGGCTTTTTCTGCTGCTTTTTTTTATAGATTTCTTTCGGAATTTGTCACGCAATTAATAAGTTAGAATTGGGCATTGCCGACGACGAAGACGACGGGTTGGGGAATCGCAATAATTAAGGCGTAGGCGGAGGCGCGGAATAACAATGATCGCGGCGACGACGATGACAAAATCTCACAGGCGACGCAATCGAAGACTCTCTTGCCAAACCAAAATCCCAAATAATGTGTAATATTTTCACCGCCTTTTTTCTCGCCTCTATTTTTCTCAATCGAAAGACGCGCGGCACGATATCACGATCACTACCGGAGAGCGAGAGCGCGGAGAGGAGCGAGTGGAGAATCGCTGATCGGAGAATCGAAGATCGCAGAATCGATGTGGAAAGATGCGCGCTGCGCTTGGAGAGGAACACGTCCGTATCTCACGGATTCTGCGCTTTCAATAAACTTGGCCAACGCAAAGCCACGCGGAGCTTGACTTGGCAGAGGCATCAGCAGCGACGGCGACGACGACGACGGCGACGGCGACGCAGACTGCGAATGCACTAAGAAAAATATACTTATATTTTATTTTAGGAGGAATATTTAACCAATTTAAACAACCAAGTAAACCTTTATGTATGTAAGAAAAACCTATACAGAAATTTTCTAATAAAAAAGGAATATTTTATTTCACGTTATAAATTTAAAAAACATTATTTTATTATATTTATTTTTTATTGAATATTTAAATAACTGAATCCATATTCTGTTGATCTTTAAACTATTTTCTGTAAAAATATACATTTTCTCCAACTAAAATTATGATATTAATTCATAGCAATAAATGTAATTTTGTGCAGTGTACTGCCACAGCATCTCACCGTAAATAAGCAAAGGAAATGGCGAATTTGCTTTTGCTAAGAAAAGAAAATATTTATTGTTTATACACAGTGCTTCCCCCGCATTTAACGCTCTCTTTTGTTCTAATTTTCCTTTTTCCCATTTCACACCGGAAAACAGTGCAAAATAATTGATTTAATTGCTGCCTAGTGATCGGTATTTCTCCTTAGTTTTTTTATACATTTTTTATACTTTTTTTGCATACTGGTCTGTCGCCACAGATTGACGCATTGCCAATGACGTTCAAGGTCATCGCAAGCCACCTGAACGTAAGCAGCTCTTAACCCCAGAAAGTTCAGAAATTAAAAAGGTTTTACATTAAAAATATAGATTAATAATCAATAATCTTTAAAAAATGTTATACATTTTAAAGAGTTCAGGAAATGTTATTATCTTAATGTTAATCTGTTTATTGTTAAGGAAATCAATGACACAATCCACATTAATACTATACTATATTATAAAATAATCCAAAATGAAACCCCCAAGTTCACCAATGTGTTAATATTAACATTCAGCCAACACTCAGTTAACAGCCTCCTAACATTTCTTCAATTCTCCAGACAAAATTTACAAGACAATAGTTTAAAAGCGGCTCCCCGAATAGACACAACATTCGCATAAATTAAACACACACGAAATGCAAATTGATATTGAAAACGAATGTGCTCCGTTCAGTTTGTTTATTTTTTGACAGGTTTGGCTTGATTTTTCGGAAAAGTATTATGCTAACAATGCATAAGTTATGCGGATCATATGTCACAGATTCGCCAGATCCTGTTGCTCGTTCTGGTTCTCATTCAGCTTTGCAATTCATTAATATTTGCGAGACTTTAAACTTCAAGCGTTGACACAATCATATTTTTCTGGCTCGTCTGCTTATTTTCTGACGGTTCTGTCTGACTCAGAATGTGTCGATCGATCGATCAGTCTTTGGGAGTTCAATAAAGATGCGTTGAGGTGATCTGCGGTGTCAGTGATCGATGAACTTTTGGCATTTCAACGCCCGGCGGTTAACACGAGTGTTGATTAGATCATCTTGTCCCGTGATCTTGTCGCAAAACAAAAGTATTTATGAGAGATGAGTGATCTTTAAAGATTTTGTGGAGGTTTTAAGCCATATATATAGCGTACAGTGCAATGCTTTCTACCAATAAATATCAGTCATGTTTTTTCAGTGCTTTTTTTTCTAAAGATCAACTATGACAATCATTAAATATTATAAATTCCTCTCTCTGGTGTCCTTGAATGATCATCTTTCTACTCCCTGAACTATGGTCTGTGGTCATCAGCGTTTAAATGCGTTAATGATCGCATTTGAAAGCCCAGCCGTGACCATATCTTCTCGGATGTCTCAGGAATGTAATTACCATTTTGGCCGGAGCAAAACTATTTTTTATTTAGCGCCGCGAACACAAAACAAAAAAAAATTATGTCAGCTTATTGGTTCCGCATTTGGCTGAGCATTTTTACCGGCATTTGGCTTTCGACGATCAAAAAGCGCCAGTTTCCTAGCTTCAAAAGGGTGTAGTTTCAAAAAGGTAAAGGGGTTTTATAATAAGCACAAAAACTAAGAAGTATTAGATTTTAAAAATTACCAAAAAACGAAAACAAACTTAGGGAAGTCAAAGTGTACAAACCTTGCCGCTTGCAATTAATTTAAAGGATCAAATCGATCATAATTAAACATTTGAATCGATATTTACGGGAATTTTGATATCACAATTTACTGAACCAATCGAAGTTTAAAAAACCCACTGCGTTTTAAGCCTTTAACTTTCATTATAATAGCCTTGCAAAAGTATAAAAATTTATTTATAAGACTTAATGAAATAAAGTATATTTGTGATACAGTTGCAAGAACAAACCCTATTTCTATTTCTATTTCTGACTATAAGCATTACCTTAAATAGTTTATTTAGAGGTCTAACAGCGTCCCCCTTGATCTCAGCCCCTGCAGAGAGCCCGCTGTGATGTCAATGATTGACCATTTGGGCCGGGGCATCATCATTGTCGGGAATCACGGCTGTTATTATCGTTACAATTACAACAAAGCTATTGCCAAATGGTCTGTGATCCCGGCAAATGGCCAACGGTAGCTGCGCAGCCGCCGCCTCCCCAGGCCTTTGTTGATCTCTCAACCCAGCTCCAACTCCCAAAAGCCCAGCCCGGTCCATAAATCAAAGCGCTTAGGGACTGAGACAATGCCCATCAATGGGGCGGCGGCTGGCGTCGAAGAAGTAATCAAAATTGTATTACGAAAACAAACGTTTTTATACATTTCAGTTCAGTTCGCTTCGTTTCGTTTCTTTTAGTTTCTTTCAGCCTCTTTGGCCACAACAATGGCAAGACGCTGGCTTGGCAGCTCGAAAAGCCGAGAAAACTGCAAAGTCAGCCAAGTCGGCGGAGGCACAATGCCGCCACATATTATTTACTTTAATAGAGTCAAGAGAGAGCCCCGGTTGGGAAATGTGTCCCCACTGTCGCCGTCTCCATCGCGACCCTTCACCCAAAGCGCCTTATTAATTGTTTATAGTCATTAATGTCACACAACAAACTTTAAACTGGCAACGGTTTTTCATCCATGCGAAATCCGATTTGCGGTTTGCAAATGGGGAAGCCCACTTTAGCCATATTTTTAATGCAAATTATATCGTTGGAAAATTGCTAAAAAAAATATATGCATAGGGAAAAAATTAAAGCAAGTTAAATGCTTGTTTGTATTATAAGTAGTGGCTTGTATTTAAACATACTGGTTTGTTAGGGTTATAAATATAGGGATTTCCTCCCTTTATTTTCAAGTTTGCTCTGAAATTTTCTGATTATTTTGAACTGGACAGAGAGTTATATCTTAAGATCTTAAAAATAAGTAAAGAAAACATTTAATTTCTTGACACCACCTTGTTTAACAAATTTTATGATTTCTTATGGGTGAATCTTTGTCAGTAAAAAAAAACAACAAGATTTAAGTCCGCTATCAAGGTTTCAACTTTAAAGGTTGATTCACAGGGTGAATTTTTTATGATTTTATTTGCATTGCATTTATTTTTTGGTTGTTCCAAACCTCGACAAAATACAAACAATAAACGAAACAAGTCTCGCAATTACTGTTTGCCAAATTGTTTATGTTTATTAACGATTTCGCAACCCGTTTTCGTATATTAATAAAATTCAATAAAATGCAATTTGCGGCATGCAGCCCACATGGAAAATGTTGTTTTTGTCTTTTTCGAAAAATAACCGAAAAATTGCGCCGAAGAGCCAAATGAAGCGGCGAGCGGGCGACCAGTTTGCATTTTGAATGCTGAACCAGTTGCTTCGGCGCATCTTCTCTTTAAAAAACAACAACAAGCTTTATGTTTGTTGTTTTTTTATTGCAAAAATATTGAAAAATGCGTAGACAACAACAACACCAAGCTCATACATACATAAATACGCTGCTTTTGTTGGTCACCGTGACCTTAACACAAATTTCGATATCAGTTGGCTACGTGCATCGGGTTTTTGTTTTTTTCCCACTGTTCACTTCTCCCAAAACTCGGGATGCTCGGGGCCTTTCATTAACAATCTACGATCTCTGAGTCATTAAGCGGACTGCAGAGAATATATCTGACAGCGGTTCATTGAAACCAAATACCAAAAACCCAAACACGACAATAACAAGAGTTCCTATCTCACTCGAACCCAATTAATAATCCTCCTCAGGTTTGTTGTTTATAATTTGCGTGGGGTTTTTTGTTTCCCATAATCGAGCATTCACACAGCTAAGCTCTGTGATCCCAGGTGACAGAAGAAAGTCAAGAATAACCACCGGAGAACGGGTTTCGCATCGCATCGCAGCTTATCGTTGTGTACCACATAGATCGAATTAAACTGGTGACCTTTTTGTGTTCGCCTTGATTTTTACAGGTATTAATGGATTCAGTCTAAAGCGTATGTAATTTATTTTTGATTTATGCGAAAGCCGTAAAGTAACGGTTGTCAGAATTACGACTTTTGCGACCACTGTGCTTTAAAGCCGGGCTTGAATTTGAAGTGTTATCGCTAATCGATATATAAGATCGTTTATGGTATATTTTGGTATTTCTGCGGGGAATTGAGCAACCACTTGCGGGGGCGGTGCGTGATTCTATACAAAATCCTTGTTGGTCACACTGCTTGGAAAAGCACAACAAAAGAAAAACAAAACAAAAGAAAGGAAAACCATCAAATGAGCTCCCTTTTCCGCAGCCTTAATCACTTTTCATCCAAGCGCGAGAATGTCGTGAAGGGAGCCCTAATCAACACACTGAACGAGAATGCCCGTGAGATTGAGTTCGAGGTGAAGCAGAGGAGTTTGGGTAAGGTTCCAAAGTGGTACTTCCCCGGAAATTGCTCATCGACTGGCTTATCCTTCGTTTTCAGAGGTCCTTGGGCTGTGCGAACAGACCAGTGCCCTGTGCACCACCTTGGAAGCACTGTTCCTGCATGGACTGAAGGACTCCTTCCTTTCGGCCACCTTCAATGTGCTGGCCGGCGATGTGGAGCGCAGGCCGGATCCAAGCTTCTGGTCGCCCTGCATGGTCTTTATGCACAAGCAGGTGATCGAGCAGGTGCAGAGCCTTAGCCAGATCACCACGGAAATTGGACAGTGTCGGGCCTGGGTGCGTCAGTCCCTCAACGAATCGGTTTTCTCCTCTTATCTGAACAACATGCGAAAGAATGGATCAGCACTGTCACAATACTACAAGAGGAACGCCCTTGTGAGGGACTCCGAGGGCCTGGAGACAGCCAGCAAGATTATGGAAAGCCTAGAGGCCAGTGTGCAGTTCGATCTGCCGGTGAACTCTAGTCTGCTGAACCACTGGCCGGATTATTCGCTGCAGCTTTCGGATTTATGGACACCGGCCATGAAGTCTTGTCCTATTAGCAGCGGTGTGGATGTAGCCAGCTCCCTGGGCGTCTCCGATATTATAGCCATACCCACGCCGCAGCCCCTTCAGACCAACGAGCTCTTCTCGGAGTCTATTTCCAACAGTCCCTTCAGCCGTGGCGGCAACTTTGGCGCTATACCCGACCTGAATCAGCGCGAGAATCTGGATTTGCTGATACAGAAGATCGACGAAATGGATGTGATAGACGAAGAGGAGCAGCAGGCAAAGACGGCGGAGGCAGAGCCCGATCCAGAAGCTCCTTCTGGCAGCAAGCAGCGTGGCCGTAAAAGATCCAAGCATCGGGTGGAGGAGGCCTTTGCCGAACTGGACATTGAGGCCCCCAGCATGCTGCCGCAGGGCAGCAATTCACTGTCTAATCTGATGCAGACCTCGTGGTCTGGTGACTTACCAGTCTCTTCACCCACCTCGCCCACCGACGAGCTGTCCGGGTCGAGGTTTTTCCAGCGATCCGTGAGTATGAGTAGCGCCGCCAGCGTCAGCCTGCGTTCCCCCAATACTGACAGGTGCAGTTACCATGCCCTGCTCCGCAAGCACGAGAGCAATCGCGAGGGTGGAGCTGGCTGGTCGGAGATCTGGGAGAAGTTCCGGGCCAGTGCCTCCACCTTGAATGTGGCACAGCGAGAAAGCGAGGCTCCTGTCTCCGAGGATCTAAGTGATCTGCAGTCTTTGGATGTAAGTATAGAAAAGAAAACAAAGTTTTTATTAATTAAGTTTCTCTCTACGCAGACCAACTCTGAGTTCGAACTGCTTACCTCCGACTTCGACATGGTTGAGCTGCAGCAAATGGTGGCCCAGCTCTGCCAGCTGCCACGTGAGCCGGGCCTTAATGCTCAAGGATTTCTGTGCAAGAGCTGTCAACATCCGCTGGGCATCGGCTACTCCAACTTTCAGTGAGTTTCCAGCTAGGTTTCTAACTCTTATCTGATTCATTTAATTCCCTCTTAGAGTGTGTGCTTTCAGCGGGAACTACTACTGCAACAGCTGCATGGATATGGAGTTGCAACTGATACCCGCTCGCATCATCTACAACTGGGATTTCCGCAAGTACAGCGTCAGCAAGCGAGCAGCCACCTTCCTGGCCGAGTTCCGTTCCCAGCCATTCCTGGACCTGCAACTCCTCAATCCCAGCATCTACTTTGCCTCCGATGCCATGGCTGAGCTGCAATCTCTGCGCATCCGACTGAACTTTATCAGGGCTTATCTGTACACCTGTGCTCCGCCGACCAGCATTGAGCTTCTACAGAATCAGTTCTCTGGCCGGGAGTATCTCTACGAACACATCCATCAGTACTCAATAGCAGACTTGGGGCTGATCCAGCGCGGCGTCCTGTGCCAGCAGCTGCAGAAGGCTTTCAAGCTAGGCGAGGCGCATGTGCTCAAGTGCAGGCTGTGTCAGCTCAAGGGCTTTATCTGCGAGATTTGCCAGAGTCCCAGAGTGCTCTATCCGTTTCACATTAGCACAACCTTTAGGGTAAGATTCTAATACATATTTATAACAAGATTTTTAATTATATTATTTTCTGTTGTAGTGCCTAGCCTGCGGAGCCGTTTTCCATGCGGAATGCCTGAACGAGAAGCAGCCGTGCCCGAAATGCGAACGCAAACGCAAGCGCGAGGATCAAGGCCTTCAGGAGGCCGTGCAAAGTCTCAAGGAAAAGAATGAGGTCGCCTAGTTAGCAAGGGGAACAGCCATATTTTATAGAATTTAAGTTACAAAAGTGCGATTTGTTAAACATTACATGTAACCAAGACAAGGCTTTACTTTACATTTAAACTAGGCTTAAGTTGAAAATTGTTATGGCTTAAAGGCATTTAAATACATACTCAAAATATATACAAAATATGTGCAAAAGCAAGAGGAGGGAGCTTATACCATTTACTATTTGATATTAAGAGCAACATCAAAATATTTTACTTACCGCCTTTGTTTTAAAATAAAAACAGCGCATTGTTTTTGTTCAAATTTCTGAATGAATTGTTTGAATTTTATTTATCTGATAACTGCAATGATTTGGAATAATAAATGTTATGCAATTGCTGATTAATAATACTTGTTCTAATGACACCAAGTCCAACAACAATGATTGAATTTAATAATAATAATGAGGAATATTAATAGTATATATTCCGATCAAAAAGGAGGCTTTAACAAATGTCTAGACCCAACCACAGCTGATAGATAGATTACCTAGATTTAGCATACTCTTCTTGAGATTATCACACGAACTGTCGAAACTAAAGTTGGATAGGGAAATGGAAATGTGGAAATGGAATGTGTGTGCGACGAGTTTCGTTGAAATGCTCTCTCGGTTGTGCTTCATTATTGCAACATTGTTAACATTTTTTTACTCATACGTTGTGTATTGCTCTAGGGGATTAAGTCGTACATCGCATAGTCGATTCTAAATATCGTAATATATATCATTACATATTAATTAATTGTTGCTGTTGGGTTTTAATAACATGTTCAGTCTAGTAAGATACATATTTATATATATATTTATATAAAGAGGCGCGCTCCTAAAAGTACATACAATCAATATACATTAATGCTGCTTGATAATTTCACTAACTTTCGGTGCTTATACTATATACAGATTGGTGATATCGCTTTGAAGCAGAGCTCGTAAATAGCACTTTCTTTTTCTTACTTTTGATCTTTTTTAAGTGTTGTTATATGATCTGACGGGTATTCTCACCCACTTTAAGTAACAACTCATGAAGACAACGATTCATTTTGAGAATCAGAGGAGTTATTTAAATGGTTATTTGGGAGCTCTGGTCTTTAGTGATTTTTTGTAGCCTGGGAAGACGACGCCAACGAATTTTTGGGGGCTTGTGCTCTCTACGAAGGTGTCTTTTTTCGGGTTATGTGTGGTGATTCCTATTTATTTTGGTACTTTTCATAGACAGTTTAAGCGATCGACACCCGCTTTTACTTACACAAGCTGCCCACAACAACACACTTCAATCACACACACCGCCCACACACACCTCTATATATATACAATTATCCGCCCAATCCCAATCAGTACACCGTAGAGTTCCGTGGCCCACTCCCCGCCGGCTGTGATTGCGGTCTTATGCTGGTACCCGCTGCTCCAGAGGCACCGCCTGCTCCTGCTCCGCCGTAGAGGAAGCTCGACTGCCGGATAACCGAAACGGTGGCGGCGGCCACTCCTGCTTGTGGCGGCGGTGCTGGTGCTCGGTGCTTCTTCAGCGGTGCATATGCCGGCTTCAGCACTGGAGGATGAGGAGGTGCTGCTGCTGGACTTGCTGTTGCTCCTCCGGGATTGGGAGCCGCGGTCGTCGTATTATTGTTGCTGGCCACGGTGCTGTTGTTGTTGTTGTTCACGCCGCTGCTATTGCCGGGTGCTGATCACGGGTAATATCGAAGAATCGGAGGAGGAAGGTATAGATTTATATATATGTACAAACATCAAGAGTGATAGCAAAGAATAGAGTAGATAGTGGCGAGAGCTCCTAGCATAGAATTTAAACAAGCAAAAATGCGAAGAAGAACGTAAGACAAATGCAGAAGAAAGTGCAACTGGAGACAGTGCTATTATGGAAAAGAAAGGTGAAAGTAAAGATATACAAAATGTTTACAAAATTAGGAAATATCAAGCTGAAAATTAAGAAAAAAATAGGATTTTAAACTGTCTGTGTTTTAGAAAACATCACAAAAAATAAACATATTCTTTTTTGAAGCATAATTATATTTACCCATGCAGGGTATTTTAATTTAAGTCAAAAGCTTGAAACACTGTGAAGGAGTCATTTCCGACCCTATAAATCATATATATTCTTGATCAGCATTAACAGCCTAATCGATCTAGATATGTCCGGCCAAAATATAGTTTCCAATTTCCAATTTTCCAAAAATTCAAAATTTTATAAGGGGTTACATCGTTAAAATTGTCAAATTGTCTTTAAATATTAAACTGAGTATTCAGTTTTATTAAACTAATAAAAACTAGCATTGGAACGCATTCCGAATTAAAATTAATGCTTTTTTAGCGTAGTTGAGTTTTTTAAACTTTGATATTTCGAAAAAAATAATCAAATAAAACTATTTATTACTATTGATTAAAAGAATGCTGTAACGGACAAATGAACATCGAACCAATAACCATAATAAAGATGTTCTCCACCGTCTTCGATAAAAAAGAACGAACATAAAATGAAACAACAAATGAAGAGTTAATGTTCCAATTGAGTTTTGGTTTATTGTTTCTCCTTCCTCCAAAAATGATAACTTCAAAACTTCGCATTCTAAAAATTAAACATATATTCATCGGATATATCGGATAATGCGAAAATATATGGGGCATATGGGGTACAAGTAAAAGCATGCGCTACATGTATTAGAAATGTATATAATGGAAGGGAATACAAGGTGGATTGGCTTTACATACATTTAAATTAAATATATATAGTATATAGTATAGAAGTTGGTAAAACTAGGCGTAATAATATTGTGTGTTGTGTGCTTAGTGGTAATATCGCAAAGGGGAACGCTCCGTTCCCCTCATACTATCCCCCTGTTCGGGGTTTAACAAAGGTATATAACATTAAATGGTATAAAATATATGCATATATATATATATAATGTTTTGGATAAAGCTATTCAAAATATAACACTCTCTCTCATATATATTTATTTCGTTTGCTTGCTAACAACAGTAAAATAAACAACAAATAATCAAAGAAGAGACTCCTAAACAAAGGCTGCGTTTAAAATCATATATATTATATATACTTTTGTAGAGATATGAATCGTTGTATAGATTGTTCGAGTTCGAAACTTAAAATGCCAGAGCTTGTGTGCCTTAAGAAACAATTACATTATATAACAGCATTCCATGTGTATGGTGTGTGTGTGCATCTATATACTAAGCTTGGAAACACTCACAAAAGAACACACACGACGACGTCTACATACCGTTGGTGGCCTTAAACGTGCGACTAGGATAGACTTTTTGTATATTTAAAAACGGCGGCGGCTTGGGGAACTCGGTGACGTTGTGGAAACGCTTGCCAAACTTCGTTTCCAGATCCGTAACCAGGCGGCCCACGCTGGCCGATCCCGATCCTGAGGACAAGCCCGAACTGCTGCCAAACTGATGCGAGGAATTGGCCATGTGCGTGGGCGGCGTCGATGGGGCATTGGGCCTTATCGAAGAATGACGCTGTGGTGGTACTGGCGCTGCTCCTCCCGTTCCTCCGGAGCCGCCCTGCAAAATTATTGTTTATTTATTATTCGTTATATAAAGTATATATTATTATATATGTATTATCCCGTAGTTACTTGGCGCTTGCTGTTGACCATCATCATTACAACAACCAGGGCTACCTGCGCCTCCTGACGCTTCCTCTGAGCTCGCTGCCTAAAGGATCTTAGTTTTCTCCACAGCCAGCTTCTTACTGGATTCTGTTCCTGCTTCTGCTTCTGCTTCAGCTGCTGCTGCTCCTGCTCCTGCTGCTGCTGGAGGAGCTCATTAATGCGGGCGCTCAAAGGCCCTTTTCTGTGGCGTGTGCAAGGCCAGTGTATGTTTTGGTCACGTCTCGCTTTTTGGAAAATCGAAAATCCAACCCCCACTCTTGTTCGAGACACACGAAAATAGGTGAGTTATAAACGAAACACTCGCTGGGACTGACTGACTGACTGACGGACGGATGTATGGATGCCTGGTGCGCATAGACAGGAGTAAGGCGCAGGCGCAGAGAGAGTGAATCAGAACAGAAGCAGCTGAGAGGTGGAAAGCTGGCAACAAAGCTGGCTTTAGGATAGGTCCAGCAGCAGATACACTTGACGAAATGTTGTCTTAGCTTTGAATGATGGGTTTTCTAGGACATAATGGAATCTTTGTTACTAAAATCTAACTAAACCCTGAATAAACCCACCTTTTGCCTTAGTAATGCAAAAATAACTTGCCTCCTTTTAGCCAAAAAGCCTTATTTTAAACACTCCTCAAACTAAACTTTTCCCTTCCACCTTTTAAAGCTCACTCAATTTCCCCGCTTTCTCCACCTAGCCAAGGTAACACCCTTGGCCTTTTGGACCAACCTGTTGTTCAATGTCAGAGTTCATGGTTATTCCCTGTCCCTCAGAATACTCACGTTGCTCGACTGGCGCTGCGGCGGCGGCGGCGGGGGACAGCTCCTGTGCGGTGGCGGTGCTGGCGGATTGATGGGTCCTCCATTCAGTATAATTGGCTTCACGTTATCGCGCATCATCATCGATGACTTGGGACTGGCCGTGGCCGAGGATGAATTGGATGAGGAGGAGGTGGGAGCCGGAGTTGCTGGTAGCGGTGGGGATGGCGCTCCGTTGGACATGCCTCCCGCCCGAAACTGATCGCGTAAAGCGGCCACACTGTTGCTGCTGCTCGAGGCGGACGGGGGCTGGGTTATGGGCGGCGACGGTGCCGCTTGCGTGGTGGTTGCCGAGCTCTGGATCAGTGCCGTGTTCACAGCACTAAAAGGCGCGGAGCCGCCAATGTTGCTCAGATTGCTGTTGGAAAAACTGCGGGCCGGCGTGGGCGGTGGTGGTGGCTTCACCGATGGGCGGGCTAAAAGAAGAAAAGACAGGGAGCATTCAATTATTAGGACTTGTAAGAGTAATCGCTTATACTAACACTTTGGCGGATTGGGTGCACATCTCATGCTTCCAGCGCTGGTGTTGTGACTGCCTGCTTCACTGCCATGGAATGGACCTTGCAGTGGGCCTCGCAAGGTGCCCAAGTGTTGCTGGGTGGGGAACACGGGTCCATTGACGCTGCCTGCGGCGGGCGGAGATCTGATTGAACAAGAATATGAAGGCGTTAGTTTGGGATTTAACAAAGATACTTAGGATCAAAGCTTGTGAGAAAAGCATAAGCATAAAGCAAACCCCCAAACGAGTTCAAGTTTGAGTTGGGATGCAGATGAGCGGCGCAGCGTGCTTAGTTCGGAAGCTGTATCTGTTTGTATCTTATACCTGGGCGACTTCATGCTGTGATGCCTGGTCACCGCCGGCCGCTGCTGTCCATTGGCCAGCGCCAGTTGCTGCAGGCCCGGTGGCTTCGGTGCAAAATTCGGCTTGCCAAAGCTAATTGCCGGCTTCATCGGCGTTGACGTGCTGTCGATCGATGAGGGCGGCGACGAGGACGACGACGACGACGATTTGTGGACACTTGCATAGCCACCACCATTAGAATTGGAACCGGAACCGCAACTAGAGCTACCACCAAACAGAGTGGACTTATTCGGCGCCAGATTGCGCAGCGATCCCATCGAGTTTACCGAAGAGACACTACTCGTTGTTGTTGTTGATGTCTTTGAACTATTTACAAAACTATTGCCTAACGAAATACTGTGTGTGGCATGGGTACAGTTTGTGTGTGGAGTGATTGGTGTGTGCGAGGATAACCACAAAGAGTCCCGTCAAAAGTAAACCGAAAAAAAGAAAATGAAGAGAGAAAAAATGTACAATAAAATTAAATATATAAACCATAACACAACCATCCCAAAAAAACGGCAGGCAATGTTTAGCATAAAATACAGTTCTGTTGGTATAAGTTTTAGGTAGGGCAATATTCAAATTAAAATGGGTAAAACATCTTATTCTTTACACTGTCTTTGATGTTCTTATTTTGAACTTATGTACATGAACTTATATTCCAACAGAACTGCGCATGGACCATAAACCCACCGAAAATGATGGCAAAACACTTACTTTAGATTGGCCGCCTTGCTCTTGACGCTGCCTCCATTGCCACTGCTCCCGCTGCTGCCGCTGTCCGAGAGCGTGGGCGATGCCGCTTTGACAGAGGAGGTGGGTGCTGGTGCCGGCGCCGTGCGGGGGATGTTCATGCGCTCCAAGATCGAATCACTCGAGCTGGCTGGCTGCTATACAAAGAAGTAAATAAAAGACAATGCTCTGGGATTAGTTGTGGCGTTGACAATGGGATTGCAGCAGGCGACACTTTCTTCTCCACTTACTGGCTTACTACCCGCTATATTTGCTACTCTCTATATTTGCCTTTAAGGAGCTCATTAAATATGCTAATCTGCTTACTAGAAATTTGCTATACTGTTAAGTGCTTTAGTCTGTGATGAAACTTGTTTCAAATCCACTTTTAATTCAAGTTCTTTGGAGTTAATCAAGTTGATTATTGTTTTGAAAAAGGTTAACTAGTGGGAAGACTATTAAAAGTATTTTATTTTACAATTAGCTTGTTGGTTACTTGTAGGGAAAGTAATGATTTTTGATCTCTCTAAAAGAATAAGAGTATAAATAAGCTAGGTAAAGGTGCTAATTACATATTTATCTTTAAATTATAATACCTTTCTTCTTGAAGCACTTTTAAACACTTATTAGTAAGTTAAACTGCCTTTAGTTCCTTTCTAAATTATTTAACTTTCTAGTTCTCCCTTGTAAACCCCTCAAAGAGATATATACTCCAACCCCTCAGACTATTTATAGAGCTCCTCAGCCCTTTGCCTTGGCATGGGTCTCACCTTTGGCGGTTGCGGTGGTGGTCCTCGGTTTGTTCTCAGATTGGCTTCTGTCGCATTGATATGTGTGTTGTTGCTGTTGCTCGCTGGCGGCTGTGGTTGTTGTTGTTGTTGCTGCTGCTGCTGCTTCTGGCGCTTCAGCGTCAAGTGCTTGGCTAGCTCGGAGCTAAAGTCCATGGGTCCATTGCTGGCAGCGGCGGCGGGGGGCTGTTGCTGCGCTGTTGCTGCTGCTGGGTGGCCGCCGTTGACTTGGTTGCGGACACTGCTGGTGCGGCTGTGTGAGTGTGTGTGTGGGCGGAAAGCGGAAGTTGAGACATTTATTTGCATATTAACAACATTTGGAGAAGTAAACCTACCGCGCATGCCATTCACGGGCTTCAGCTTTGGCATTTGGGAGAGGCCTTCGAACAGGCCTCCCAATTTGGGGGCTCCATTGCCAAGGCCATTGCTGCTGCCGCTTGTGTTGCTTGTGTTATTGTTGTGGTTGCTAGTGTTGTTGTTATTGAGAGTGCGCTTGCCAAGTCCACCTGCAGAAGCTCCTCCTCCCTCCGATCCACACACCTTGCCCGCTAAAGCCGGTCCGCTCTTGTCCACAGTGTTGGTCTTGCGCAGCTTGGTACCCTTCTGAATGGAGCTGAGCAAGGCGGACCGGGCATCAGGACCGCCGCCTCCTCCTGCTGCGCCGCCCAGTTTGAAGCCACCCATCGCCGGAGGCGGTGGTGGTCCTGGCGGGGGCGGAGGTCCCGGTGGTGGCGGTATTGCCATCTAAGATTAAAGAGAAAAGAATGATTTCATTAGAAAATTGTATTGAAATATTACAAAATTATTAGATCATTGTAAAGGCCTGTACTTTTTTCTTGGAACTTCGTTTCAATCTCATTTTGGGAGATGCTGCTTTCGAGGCACAAGTTCTGCTGCGTCCGCCTCTGCTTAGCTTTGGCTCAAGACTGACTTTGGCCCAGAGTTTGACGTTCCGAAGCCAAGACCGCTGTCACCACCCACACACCACACCACACACACACATGATGGCTGGTTGGTTGGCTCTCTGGGTCTTTATAATACAATTTCTATAACTTATTATTTATGTCTTGTTTTCTGTTGTCTTGAGATTGACGCCTCGATAACAAATAAGCAAAGAGTTGCCAAGGCACCGAAGCCTGAAATTCTCTAGACTTTGAGAGCTATGGATTAATAGTAAACCGACTTTTGCTGGCTTATATCAAGGTCTATAAGAATTTTAACTAATTCGTTAAGTTCGTTCTTTTATCATATTTTCTAGCGCCTAAACTTAATTAAAAAATCAAAACTTTTCCACTAAACAAAGCCAAACAAATCTCCTAATATTTATTATACCCTAATGTAATAGCCATAAAAGACAAATTGAGAAATTTAAAGCTCAAACAGCGCGGAAAGCTGTACAGTTTTGGAGGCTGTGGAGCGGCCCACTTAAGGCTAAACCCACATGATCCACTACAGATCTTACAGATCTTTATGTGTGTGAGAGTATTTGGTTTTGTTTTGTTCGCAATTAAAATTTCTTTAGCCGGTATTCGAGCATACTTTCAAAAATAAAAATAGAGCTATAAGCCAAGTGAATAATTATCAGTAAAATCATAATCACAAGTAATTTGAAAGGTTGCTTTGCTGATAAGAAATCACATTCCTCCCCTTTGTTTGGAATAAAATGTTTAGCAAAATGGAAAAATATAACTACAAGTGAAACGAATCTCTTAACAACATGAAGTTCTCTGTGTGTCGAATTCTTCAAGCTAAATGCATAATTTATTTATTAATTTTCTCTTCAGTGAAGGTGAGTTTTGTTAGCTAAAAAATAGAAAAACTAATTATATTAATTGCATAAATTAACCCTGAGACAGTCGCTGAATGTGTTACAACAGTTGGAGGCTATTTACGAGCAGTCAGAGGGTTTACTAAACAGGTAAGTTGCTGGATTTTATAACTGAATATGTTCTAAATATATATTTCTATAGTTTAAAGGATGAACTTAAATTATTAGAAACTGTTGAGCCATATCCCACATCCTGCCTGAGTTCTGAGACCAAAGAGAATGGCTTATACACGATGAAAGTACCAGAACTGCCTCCCTTTTCGGTTTACTGTGAGAATCAAATAGCTGGCCCCGGTTGGCTTGTGATCCAGCGCAGGTTTAGTGGTAATCTCAGTTTCTTCAGGAACTGGGAGGAGTACAAGAATGGTTTTGGGGATCTCATGGGGGAGTATTTCCTGGGTCTCGAGAAGATACGCGCCTTAACAGCTCTAGAACCGCATGAGCTGTACGTTCACTTGGAAGATTTCGATGGGGAGAAGAGACATGCCAAGTTCGATGAGTTTGCTATAGGTAGCGAGGAGGATGACTATGTCATGAATGCGTTGGGCAAATACACGGGAACTGCAGGAGATTCCCTTCGATCCCATCGGAAAATGAAGTTCACTACATATGATAGGGATAATGATCGTGAGTTTAATCGGAACTGTGCCTTTTACTACCTCGGAGGTTGGTGGTACAATGCCTGCTTGGATAGGTGAGTTTCTTGGCTTAATTATTAGTATATATTTTACTTTCTGTAATCCTTAGCAACCTTAATGGCCAGTATATGCCTGGTGGCAAGTACGAGGAAGCACTCTTCGCCCGCGGCATGTGCTGGCGCTCTTGGCGTGGCCACAACTACGGCTATAGGATCACCCAGATGATGATACGACCCAAGTGCCGAAAGCTACCCTCGTGATTCATCCCAAAGAACATTATTCATTTTCCTTGTGGCCTCAAAGATCAACGTGCAAACAATTTGTTATGAACTTGATTAACATGCAAAAAGTGTTGTCATTGAATCATCATCACATTCTTTACTCTGTGAGAGAAGCTATAAAAAATATATGCATGAAACAATTGCTCATTGAAATAGTTCAGTTCTCTCTACTTCCTGCTGGACTATCTCTCAAGTATGACTTGACCTACGATTTTCAATGCAATTTTGATAAGGAAATGGGTTTTAAAAAACTAAAAACTTAAACTAGAATGTTGAGAGCAAGCTAAGGTAGCAGATCATGAAGCTGTATATAATATGTGTTGTTTTATTAAGTGTTTTCTTTCATGTTCAATCCCATAATTTGCAAATGGTTTACGATAAAGCTGATGGCTTGATTGCCAGGTTTGCATTTAGTATTATTTAATGTCTGATTTAACTATTAAAAAGTGTTTATTAGTTTGAGAACGCAGCTGGATGAGCTGAAACAGAGATACTTGCAAGTGACAGCGTTGCCACAAAAAGCGACTCATCAGGAAGGTAAGTATATACAGGATGGCTTGAATATAAATTGATTCAGAGGTTTAAATCACAGTACTTTATCCCTCATCCTGCCTGGCCGCTGGCATCAACACCAATGGCATTCACACCGTAGAAGTGCCTGGCCTAAAGCCCTTTCCCGTTTACTGTGACACTCGGCTTGCTGGATCGGGTTGGACTGTGATCCAGCGGCGTCTGGATGGCAGTGAGAACTTCTATCGCAGTTGGGAGGAGTACAGCCAGGGATTTGGCAATCTGAGTGGTGAATTCTTTCTAGGACTGGAGAAACTACACTTTCTTACTACAGCTGAACCGTACGAGTTGTATGTTCATATAGAAGATTTCTATGACGATTCACGATATGCTCATTACGATAATTTTGTTATTGGCAATGCTTCCGATTCTTATGCACTGGAAACTTTGGGAAAATACTCCGGAAATGCCGGGGATTCTTTGGCTTATCACAAGGGAATGCCCTTTTCCACATTCGATCATGATGTTTTGGGTCATGGTTGTGCCAGGAGATATGTGGCCGCCTGGTGGTATGATCAGTGTCAAAGGAGGTAACACTAGCACTTCATTTTTGATATATTTCCTGTATTTTATTATACGATTTCCATTACTTAAAGCAACCTAAATGGTCAGTATTTGGATGGCGGAAGGTTCGAGGCCAAGCTATCTGGCAGAGGAATCACCTGGATGAGCTGGCGTGGCTATGATTATGGCTACAAGTTTGCACAAATGATGATCAGGCCCAAGTGTTTCAACAATCTACAAAGGCAGCGTCAATCTAATTGAAATTCCACATTGAAAACAACACCGAAAAACATTGCCAAAAGGTGAAACCAAAAAAAAAAAAAAAAAAATGGAAGGGAAATCGTTTTATTTCTTGATAAACACACTATCAACCTTTTGTTGTTTTATTTACTTTTTTGATAATGCGAAGTTCCCGCTGATTTTGTTTGTTGTTAACGAATTTGTTGCTATTTCTTTGCACATAAACAAAACCCGCTTTTCTGCGTAGTGTATTTTATTGTTTTTATTTTTAATTTTTTATATATTTCGTCTCCCAGAGCGTTGCGCTCAGCTCGCGGGTCGAAAAACAACTGAAGGAGCTTCCGAACGCTGCGCATGCGATGCCCCGAGTGGGACAAGTACAGAGAGAGATAGAGACAGTTAGAGAGAGGGAGAGAGAGATAGAGGGAGACTTGGAGACTCTGGGAAAGAGAGAGCTGAGCAGTGAACACATTGATAAAAATAATGTAAACGCCTGTGACGTCACTTTAGATACGGGAAGACACAAAGACCAGCAGCAGCCCAGACAAAGAGAAGCCCCAATACCGCAGACAACGAGCACTTGTCATCCAGCCAAAGACTGATGATATTAATGATGATGATGATGATGATGATGAGAAGAATCTGCAGATGTGCTAAGCCACAACCACAGCCACAGAGATCCGCTGAAGAAACGCTTAACCGTAAGCCATGGGCCACAAAACGTGCGAAATACCCGACAGTCTCTTGGTCTCTCTGTTGTCTTGAGTCATTAAAGTGGCACAGTGGGACAGGTCTAAGGCAAAACCGGACAGAGCTCTTTAATTGGAATCCCCTCTGGCTCTAGTCACAACTACTACTATCGGGTGAATCATACTATTCAGTTTGATTCACGAAGCTTAATTGAACAGTTTGTAAGCGTATTCTGTCATCTTATAGTAAATAGAATAGGATTTGGTAGGTAGGATTTAAGTCAGATTCTTTACTATTTTTAAAGAAATCTATAATTAAAAGGTTTAGTTTAAAATCACTTACATCAAAATAAGTAATCAAAAACAGTATCCTCATTCATGTAGAGGAAGATTTCAGTTATTATTGTCAATAGCAAAGTTTAAATAAATCTTTTATAAATCCCACTTTTACCAAATGCTTAATATTATTTAGGGAAATCCCCAAATTACAACTTCATGTTCACTGGAAGTTTGAGTAAACATCCTTTACTTAATCTCAATCTTCCCCAATTTATTTACATTAATTTTTAGCTCACTCTCTTAAATATCACTCAAAAGTCAAATTAAATATTAGCTTGGGGCAATGACTCATGACTTGGCCAGTTCGTTGGAAATTAAAAGCATAAGACCCCAAGTATTTAAAAAGTTTCTATATCTTATCGCCAAGCAGTTTGGCCAGAGACAGCAAAAATAAAAGTATTAAGTCAATAACGCAAGGGAATCAAGGAAGCATGTTTGAAAGCAAATTTGATTTGAATTGATAGAAAAGTGCGTTTCGGTAGTATAAAGAGTAGTATTATTTATCAAATCATATTTATACTCGAAAAAACTAATTTACTTTAAAACTCTATTACCAAAACTATCCGAAACTCTTAAACCAAAGAAAAATTCAGCCTTTGGAGACTTGACTGAATCAAATTCAGCATAAAAACCCATTAGTCAGATCTGGAACAACATGCTAGCCATGGTTTATTTTTTTGTGACTGTAAGAATCGCCACTTTTGGCGGTTGCCTTCTTATTTTTAAAAAACAATTGATATGAAGAAAGAAGCTTCAATGACAGCGAAATCGATTAATTGAAAAAACTGTGGCGGTTCTCAGCGATATGGCGATATGAGTCACTCCCATTTTGGTGCGATTTTATATACTGACGATCCTGGTTTTTCTGTAGTTCCTGCTCTTATCCTCAGGTTACCAGTTGGCACTCACATTCAATTAACTTCTTTTTTTAGCGAGGTGTGCCGTCGCCACTTTCGCTCCTCCTGCTCCAGAGAACGCCTTTGGATTGCCCCAATAAACTGTCATCAAGTTAATTGCCCCAAATGCACATACACCTATATGTATTTGTATATAAACAAGGGCGTGTTGCGCCAAGGGATGGGGCAGCGACATCGAATCAAATTGAATCAAAGCCTCCTCCTGTTTATCCTTCATTCTGATTCCGATTCCCGACACGCAAACGACAAAATTGTAAATTGCTCGACTGTCAAAATTCATTTCCATCGTTTATCGGCCATCGGCCATTATGTAAGTCAAATATTGGGTGTTAAATGCGTAAGACAATACCCAAAACCACAAGGTATGTCGCAACTTTCGTATCGTTTCGGTCGCTTTTCTGGCTGAAACAGTTTGGTTCGTTCGTTCTCCTAATGACGGTAATTTGCTGAGGTTTTTCTCAGCCCTATTTGTGTTTTCTTTGACTTGCTTTTCTTTCGTTTATAGCACGGGCTTTTTGTTTACTTGACAATTTCCGCACAAAAGTTTTCTCAGCTTGGAAGGGGGATTTTCTGGAGCTGGTAGTTCTAAGGTGGGACTTCCAAAGCGTTGGATTTGATTATTAAGCTAAGCCAAAAATAAATTTATTTCAATTCGGAAAGCATTCCTATACTTGTTTTTATCAGTTTTATAAAACTGCATACTAAGATTTACATATAAAGAGCTTCCTTTTTTTATAATTTTTGCCAATTTTAATAATGTAACCCCATATACAATTTTTTTAATCTTTCGGACGTTTTAGAAAGAAATAGATTTCGGCCGGACATAGCTAGATCGACTTAGCGGTTAATGCTGAATAATAATTTATATGGTTTATAAGGTCGGAAATGACTCCTGCTTTATAATATTTTTGGAGATGTTAGAAATGCCTTTTACAATTAAAAAAAACAAAACGTAAAATCCTTTAATCAAAGACTAAATAAACAATAAGAAGAGTAGAGCGCACAGATTTGCTGTTTTTTTTATACAAATTGGTTCAACCCGATGTTTACTGGATCTAAAAAGTATCCAAAATAACATATCTACGACAACCAGAATGTGCGCCACTCATTAGATTAAAGTGTTTGCTCTGAATCCGTATCCGGCTGAGACAAAAATGCACATTAAATAGTGATTCATTTGGGTTCTAAATGATTTCAGTGAAATAAACCAGCTTATACACACAAAATCATTGAAACAAACTGTGTTCAGACTTTCGCTTTCAATTTCTTTAATTTATTTTTGTCGTTTAGCCGCGGCCAAGTTCCAATTACACAAAGCCAAAACCATTGGACTAACAATTAACATTTACATTTCAATTGCGAGTCGCTCGTCGTGCAGCTGCTCTTGATTATTTCACAGGGGAGAGAGGCATAAAAACGCATCATTGAAATTCCAAAAGCCACACGATGTACGGATATATAATATATATAATATGTGACCGCCGTGCAAATAGCTCCGGAGTAACAAAAATCAAAAGACAACACGCTCCGCGACCATGTCTTATGCCAATGCTTTTATATAGCGCATCCATGCCGATTTTTTTGTTTATAATTTTATTTTGTTTGTGAATGACCGTATATACTATATATACCAGCCAGTCATTCGCTCTCTCTGACGTAAAACCAATCTTGTGGTGGATATTTTAAGGGGGAATTGGTTTGATATCTAAGAGATACACACAACTTATTGAGATCTAAAGCAGTTCAAGTATCAAAAACGCATAGAATAAGTTTAGATGTAAATGTAAGTTTATGATTCCATAGGTGACTCATAATTGGCTTATCTTTGTAACCTTTCATTCAGTCATAGTAAAAAACTGGTTTTTTAAATGAATTACTCACAAAACAAACAAATAAATGTAAAAACAAATGCAGGAATAACAAAGTTTACTTAAGAGTTAGAAAATACATATATTTAAAGGTTACCAAACATCTTCTTGAAAAAATAAATTGCAAATCTGTATTAAAACTTAGTTTCTTAACATATCCAACATATATTCCCATAAAAGTAATATTTATCAACACTATTTTAAGCCCTTGGTTATATTCTGATCTAAGCGTTTCTCGCCATGCATCATTTTGCATTTTGTAATTTGAATCTTCTTTTTCTGCCGCCCCCTCATGGCCTGCCTACCTCATACGTTACTAAGGAGTGTGTTTGTGTGTGATGTAAGGGGGCATCATGCGAGTGGTGTTCGCTTACCGCCAGAAACACAACACAACACAACACACAACACCAGATAAATATTGCATTGTTGCACTTGCTGTTGTTGCTCGGGAGGTTTATTAAAATGCGGTTTTTCAGCGCCGTCGCACAATGCTTAAATAACTAATGCAAACACATCATGAAAGCCGGAGACGAGAGACGAGTGACAACAACTACAAAAACGACGACAACATTGGCAACGATAAACTCAATGACAACAACGGTGTTGGGTTCGCAATAAGGCAACAAGGTACACTGAAGAAAATATGTATATTATTAGCAATAGATTGGAACAAAGGATTTTTATATTGACACAAAATATGTAAAGTAATTGTTATAATTTTAAAGTTGACGGAAATCAATAAGTTTTCTTTACTTCTTCTTGTTTTTTTGGGGTATTATAATTAATTACCTATGATTAGTCTGTAACTATGATCATTAATTAACTATAACCACTAAGTAACTATGAGCAGTAAGTAACTCTGAACAGTAAGTGTCTATGACCAGTAAGTAACTATGATTAGTATATAACAATGATCAGTAATTAGCAATGAGCAGTAAGTAACTTTGAACTCTATGATCAGTAAGTATCTATGACCAGTAATATTGTATGATCAGTTACTAACTTTGAACACTAATAAACAATGACTTGCAACTTTTGTAACAACAGATATCTGAGACCTGGCCGGCAGCAGTCACTTCGTTCCGGGGATGTTTGAACCAGTTGGGAATCATATGATATGATGATAAGCTATGAAAAGGAAGTAACTATGAACAGTAAGTATCTATGACCAGTAATTAACTATGACCAGTAAGTACCTATGATCAGTAAGTATCAATGAACATTTAGTAACTCTGAACAGTAAGTATCTATGACCAGTAAGTAACTCTCAACAATAAGTTTTTTTGATCAGTTAGTATCTATGACCAGTAAGTATGTATGAGCAGTTAATAACTTTGAACACTAATAAACAATGACTTGCAACTTTTGTAACACAACACATATCT